CAGCGAGTCAGGTCAAACTTGCACTGCTGACTCGAGTTTGACTTCTGTTGACTTTAGGGTTTGGTCAACATGAGTAATGGAGACTATAGAGGGGTAAAATGGTCTTTTACCCATTCTAAGAATTTAAGAGAAAGAGAGAGCAACCTTTGGCATATTTGATTATGAATAGAGTATTAATTAGAGATGATTATCCTATGTATTAGGCAGAGGCTAGTTCGAGATTTCCGAGTATGAGACTTTTACTTGCTAGCTTCCGAGGTGAGTCTTCTCACTATACTTACCATGAGTGGTATCTTCGTGTGATTGAGATGTCTTATGTGCTTATCTATGTATTTTAATACCCTGTATTCTGTCCTTGTGATTTATGCTTATTGTTATGAACTTATTAAGTTAGTATCGAAGGGTCCACCCAAGTTGTGGGACCGGAGGGTCTCCACTGGAACATATTGACAAGAGGGTCGTCTTGAGTTAGACTCGAGTGGCTAATGTGATGTGTGTGATATTTTGAAGAACTCACTAAGCTTCGTGCTTATCGTGTTATGTGTTATGTGTTTCAGGTAATTCTAAGGATCACGGGAAGGCACCGGCTTGATTGTACACACACTCGCATTGGAGATTTAGTTTTAGAGGATCATGGATTTGATATATAGGAAGTTTTTGGATATGAGATTTGATGATTTGATATTTTGACATTTTGTAATTCTATTATTGAGACAAAGGCGTTTTTAAAATTGTAAAATTTTGGTTTAAAATTTATGTTGTTATAGTCACTCTCACTAGTACTACGTTGGTGCATATTGAACAAACTAATGTAAAAAAAAGACAAAAAATCAAATATAAGATCAAAAGAGAAGGCAAAATATGCTCACTTTTTCTTAGTAGATTTATCATTTATGAGTGCCTACAATGGTAATGGAGGTCCAGGAATTAATGCTTTGTGGCAATTGACATAACAATTATCAAACTATTAGTAACAACAAACTATTTAAACCCTCAAAAAGAACATATCAACAAATACTATACATTATTTCTAAAAAAAGTTGAGTTAAACAATTAGTCACTCAACATTTCAATTTACTTGTTATTTAAAGTGGCTATAGGAGGTAGGTGTCTGTGTTTTCAGAGTGTTACAGGGAAGCAACTAAACTCAATGTATTGGTATTCACATGCTCAACAGGAAGTCTGTTATGAATGACAACCTCAACCTGAACACCAAAACGATGAAGCCTTTTGTCATCCTCTCTGACTACGGGCGGCTTTATAAATTAGAAATGGGTAACCAAGTGTTAATTAAACATCCATTTATTGAAAATTTGTTTTTAAAATGCAACTCATTAATACTTCAAAAGATGTTGTACTTATGCATGATAGATGAGGAAAATGATGTAATTTAAAATCACCGAGAGTGGGATGCTGAAATATTATTGAAGTTGTTGCGGCCTTGAACCTGAGGCCTCTTTCATGTTCTACTTCCTCTAATAACTCTTGACTGTACATTCTTCATCAATTGGAATCACGAAATGTTCATCTTCATCTTCAACTTCTAAAAAAAAGTTTAATTGCAATTGTTTGAGTTTACAACAAAAATGAAGTAAACGGTGTTAGAATCCTTTCAGTTCAGTTAACACTTCCATATGAAATTGAATACCTAACAACAATTTTAGGTGATTAGCATTTCGGGTGTTTGCATCAACAGTATTCAAATAGAACATCGACAAAACCAACCTTCATCAAACAGTTATTTGTGCACCCTACGAAGGTCTAATCCTATCATATAGTAAAATGAATAATTTTTTTGAAGTGTGGGGGTTATTACATGTTTGGCGATGCTTGTTGAGTTTATAGGAGATGTTGATAGCAGTGAAGATAGTTACAACAAGAAGAGAGAGTGGAAAGATGAAGGCAAAGATGTTGGTGTAGGGTCCTGGGGTTTGCCGCGTGTCATAATCAATGAGCCTCTATTTCTGCATCAAGTACCACCAACGCCAAATTGGTGTTGATATATTGGAAAACGATGGAAAATCAGTAGGATAAACCAAACAAACTCAAATTTTATGATGTCGACCAAGTGTCTTGCATGAAATATCATAGGAATGGGTGTTGTTATTCAAACCCAAAACTAGGCTCAAAACGCGCAATAAGATATCATTCCTGGGACTCCAGGAAACTCAATTGATGAACATTGATGCTATCGATGTACATGGTTGCTGGGACTTAGATGAATTTCAATTTTCTGCAACTCAGTGATCTGGCAGATCAGGCGGGCTGCTGAGTATATGGGACGCGAACATTTTTAAGGTAAGGGAAGTAATCAAATCGAATCATTTCTTGATAACCATTGGTGATTGGGAAGGGATTCCAAGGGATACAATAGTTGCCAATGTATATGGTCCTCATGACCCAGTTAAAAAGAAAAGACTATGGGAAGAGTTGCTACATTGGAAGAAGGAGAGACCAGGAACATGGGTTTTATTTGGGGATTTCAACACAGTTAGAAGACGAGATGAACGAATTAACTCTTAGTTCTGTCCCTCCTCTACTTTCTACTTCAATAGATTCATCTCTGAAGCAGGTCTTCATGACATCAGAATGGGGGGGAGCAGATATACTTACTTTTGCCAGACGGATATAAAGCTTAGCAAACTCGATAGATTCCTGGTATGTAGTAATTTTATCAATGCCTTCCCGTCTACCTCAGTCACTGCCCTCCCAAGAGAGCTATCAGATCATAGCCCAATAATACTCCAAACTTCCTCTTCGTATTTTGGGAAACCCCCATTCCGGTTATTCAATTCTTGACTCGATCGAGAAGGATTTGAGGCGGTCGTTAAAAAGGCATGGGGTGAATTTAAAGGGTACGGTGTGCCAGATATGTACATGATGGCGAAATTGAAGTATCTAAAAAATGGGATAAAAATATGGAGAGCTACAGATCAACCTAAGGAAGTGATAGAATTACAGGAAACAAACAGAAGAGTTCATGAGATTGACCTGATAGCAGAAGAGTGAATGCTTTCGGAAGAGGAGATAAGTGAAAGGAGGTCCGGGTTTCAAAAAATAGCAAAAATGGAGAGGTTCTTAGTTGAAGATATTAAACAAAGGGCGAAGATTAAGTGGATAAGTGATGGAGATGAAAATTCAGCCTTCTTTCATGGTTTTGTTAATAACAAAAAGAGAAAGAATATGATTGCAGGTTTACTCGTTGACAACCAATGGATTACTGAACCAGAAGCAATTAAATCTGAGATTTTCAGATTCTATCAAGAGAAATTCCAAGAAAGGTGGCCGTCCAGACCAAAGTTCTTCAGCTCCTGGTTCAATACCTTAGACCCATTGGCAAGCGCAAGTATTGAAGCCCCGATCACAATTGAAGAAATAAAAGAGGCAATTTGGGCATGTGGAAATGAAAAAAGCCCAGGCCCTGATGGATTCTCCTTCAAACTTATAAAACGGCATTGGGAGACAATGAAGCACGATATAGTGAACATGGTAAAACACTTTGAAAGACACGGAGACATCAGCAGGGGATGTAATGCTTCATTCATTACCCTTATCCCGAAGATGAAGGACCCGCTCTCAGTTGGGGACTACTGGCCGATAAGCCTCATTGGTTGTATGTACAAGATCATTGCAAAACTACTATCTAGCAGGTTAAAAAGGGTGATTGGGGGATGTATAGGAGATGTACAATCAACATTCCTTGAAGGTCGGAATATCCTGGAAGAACCCTTAATCGTCAATGAAATGTACTCATGGGCAAAAAAAGCGAATGAAAAGATGCTACTATTTAAGGTAGACTTCAATAAAGGCTTCGACTCGGTCAATTGGGAATACTTGGATCACATTCAAATGCAACTGGGGTTTGGTGAAAATGGAGGAGATGGATACAAAGCTGCTTAAAAACCCCAACACTATCGGTCTTAGTTAACAGGTCCCCGACTAAGGAATTTGGAATGGGACGTGGAATAAGGCAAGGGGACCCTTTATCTCCATTCTTATTCCTAATAGCGATGGAAGGGCTGCATATTGTAATGGAAGAGCCGTGTGCTAAAGGTGTATTCAGAGGGATGCAAGTCCCTAATAGTGAAGTATGCATCTCACATCTGTTATATGCAGATGATGCCCTTTTTGTTGGAGAATGGAGTGATGAAAATATTAAAAACCTTGCAAGAATACTTAGGTGCTTCCATGTATCTTCGGGTCTGAAAGTAAATTTTGATAAGTCAAAGATCTTTGGAATTGGAGTGGATCGGCAGGAAGTAACAAGATTGGTGGAGCCGCTAGGCTGCAAATCAGCTGATTTTCCATTCACGTATCTTGGAGTACCTATAGGGGCGAACATGAAATACAAAAGACATTGGATGCCGGTGATAGAAAAATTCCAATCCCGTCTGAATATATGGAAATCTAAAACCTTATCCCTCGGGGGTCGACTAACACTAGCAAAGGCTGTTTTGGGAAGCCTACCCACCTTTTATTTTTCTTTGTTTGTTGCTCCTACAGGTGTTATCAAGAAGTTGGAAAGCATAAGACGAAGATTTCTTTGGGGAGGCACGGATGAGAAAAAAAGGATAAACTGGGTGGCATGGCAATCAGTGATTGCCCCTAAGGAGACTGGTGGATTAGGAATGGGATCTCTTAGGGCTCAAAACCTATCACTAATTACGAAATGGATATGGAGGCTCAAAGTAGACAACTTAGGTTTATGGAGCAAAGTTATTAATGGAATTCACAATCTTCATGGCAAACCTGCACAACATATCTGTAAGAAAACACTACATGGAGTATGGAGTCGAGTGGCTGGAGTGCAAGATGAATTAAAAAATTTTGGAATTGACATTGATGAAGTAATAATAAACAAAATCGGATCAGGAGATGAGACTATGTTTTGGCTTGACAAATGGTTTGGCGGTTCAACACTGAAGGACTCCTTCCCAGAGGCATACAAACTGGAAGGCCACAAGCATTGTAAAATAAGTAATCGTATACAGCATGGTACCATGAACTGGGAATGGAAATCAACTCCAAGAACGGTGGATCAGATCAGTGAGATTAACATGCTCACTAACACAGTCGGTGATTATCAGCTTATGGATGGAAGAGATAAGTGGAGGTGCACTTTATCTAGTGATGGTGCTTTTCATGTCGATGCTCTCAGATTCAAAATTGATTGCTGGAACATACCATTGATGGAGACCCACTTAAAATGGATTCATGAGATTCCATTAAAGGTGACATGCTTTATATGGAGGGCCAATTTAGACAGAATACCAACCGCATGTGCTCTACTCAAACGAGGCATTCAACTGGATTCCCCCATATGCACATATTACAGGACTGCAGAAGAGGATATATCTCATGTGCTCCTTCGATGCCCAATGGCTATGCAGGTTTGGGATTGGGTGTTCCGTTGGTGTGACATCCCTAATGTTCAATTCGCATCGGTGGAGGAATTATTGAAGTTTTCATCGCAGTGGGGGACATGTACAAAGAGGAGAAAAAGCTTCGTCAGTATCTGTTATGGAACGGCATGGCTCCTTTGGAAGGCAAGGTGTGATTGGGTATTCAAAAAATCTAGAATCTCTCCTGTTAAGGTGGCTGACTTGGTGAAATCCACAGTGTTTCTGTGGATCAAATATAGGAGAGAACATTGTAATTTTCAATGGATTGATTGGTGTATCAATCCTTTTTTGTGTCTGTAATTTCTTTCTTTATGTTTGTACTTATTTTTCCCTCCCTAGCGTCTTGCTAGGGTGTGGCCTCTTAATGATATTTGTCGTTTCCAAAAAAAAAAACTAAGCTCAAAACCATTTCTAAAAGTCAAAAACCACTTTGACTAGGCTAATAATCATTAGTACGAGCAAAACCGATACTATAATACTATTATATTAATAAAATTTACATTTATAGTCATTTATATTATACATTCATTTCAATTTCGACTTTTCCATTTTGAAATATAAATAATCTTCCTATTCTAATAAATGAATGATTTTATTTTCTTATTTAGAAGTGTCACAATATTAGAAATCATCATTAATATTATATATCAGTATGTCACCTATCATTCCACATGTCAACCTATTAATTTTCCATTTAAAATTTAAAATTTAATATTTTTCATTGTAATTACATTAAATTAATAATTGATTCTTCATTTTAAATTTCACACTTCAATTATATTAAATTAATAACATTACAATAAAAAATAAAATAAAATTAATATATATTATAAGATGATATAATTTCATGTATTTATCTAAATCAATGATTATAATTTTATATAACTAAAAAATATCTCTTAGATAATAATTTATTTAAAATAAATGATTAATAATTTTGAGTTTTTACTATGAAAGATTAACTAATTTTATAGCCGTAGTTGTCACAGGTTATAAACTAGTTCATATATATACCAACAAATTTTGCATATATAGTCATTTACTTTACATATGATTTTATATTCTAATGCTTTATATTACTCAATAAAAATAATATTATATGTATGATTTTTATTTCACATATTATGTTCAAAATAAATACATGAAAATAATATATTAAATAAAATATATTAATTCTTAACATATGAGAACTTAGACGTTTTTATTTCTTAGTTATTGTTTTTTTTTTATCTTTTATCTTTTTCTTAATTATAGTTTTTTATGAAATAGGTAAATCGAACTTGTTGATCAAATATACGTTCAAATATAACATATAGCATCATCTTATTTATATTAATTAAATGCTTTCCGATTATATTTCATGACAACATAATCGGTATAATATACATCCTTAAGAATGATTTATTATTATTGTAATTCACATCCAACCGTCTTTTTATATTAATTATAAAGTAGATCCTTAACTTTAGAATTGTATATTTCGGGATGTGCTAATATCTTGTTTTATAAGATTTCCATTGTTTTTTATTATTCACATCTAACTGTTTTTCTGTGCGTTAATAGTTTTTAATATGCGTGTGTGTGTGTATATATATATATATATATATATATATATATATATATATATATATATATATATATATATATATATATATATATTCTAAGATTTCCAGGTTGTGATATTCTGTAGTTAACATTTCCAGAGAAGCCCATAAAGATTTCGTCCAAGGCCATCTAGAAGGTATCGATGGACTGCTTGAGGCCTAAGCAGTCAGATTAGGGTTTCCACCTGAAAAACCGTAGTAGCCTTAGCTATATAAGGAACCCCTTGATATACAATTTTCGGGCTATGCATTCTAAGAGAACCCTAACCAAAAATTGAAGAGCCTTCATCACCCTTCTCCTTCATCATTTGCTAGTGGTGTTTGTGACTCCAATGGAGGTGCAACACTTGGGGCACTAATCTCTTAGAAGTCAAGAATAAGCAAGGAATAGTTGATATTACTAGATAATAAGAAAGGTATTCTTCTAACCCTAGTTATATATAGATTTCGATTTTGTATATACTAGATCTAGGGTTATTCCTTTGGACATTTATTTGCATGTATAACTTGAGAAAAACCTAGATCCAAAGCAATTAGGTTTGCATGTAAACATAGGAGTGTTGTTATGCTCAAAACCCATCAATATATACTTAGCTATGATACGTGTCGGCGTACCGACTGAAATGAGAGAGAGCAAGGATCATTTGAGAACTTATAGTTTCCCGAGAACCTGAGAACTAAAAGTGGAGCATTTTATCAATTATTTCAATGGCTTAGATGATCAATAGCATATTTTGTAAACATGACTATCTTTAGTGGCATATTAGGTTTCTGTAAACATAATCATAAGGGTATAATCAGGATGAAAAAAAATCTGGAAATTAGATCATTCCCCCAAAATCCAATCGATTCTTTTTCTCCCAAATCCATCGATTGTCTCACCCAACGACTCTCTTTCTTTCAGAGCTTCATCGGTGATTTCTTCTAGATCAGATCCTTCCGCCTTCCATATCATTACCCTCTGCCATCCAGATCAACATCGGTCTCCACAACGATCACACCTTGTTGATTTCCGTCTATTCCCTCCATGATTTAACCACGAACATGGAGGCACAAACCTCCTTGAACCAACCCCTTTCAACAAACAAAAATAGTGAAGTTACCGATCCATACAACTAATAACATCCGTAAATCTCTTCACCTTCTTCTCTTTGATGCTAGCGTAAATCTATTCAGAGCTTTCTCAATCGATTTCCTTTTTCACATCCATCATTCTAATTCTAGATCTATTAAGAGCTTGTTCATTGTGGCTGTAGTTCTAATTATGTTCATCGGTGTTTTTGTGGTGATGGATGAGATCATGTTTAAATCTAATTTCTAGATATATCCCTGGCTTTAGATTCTTTTTAGGTTCTTTGTGTTTCTAGTCGTGAATCGAATCATCATTCGCCTGCTCCATCAAATCCTTCCACTAGTTCATCAGGTAATCACCCTAACCACAACATTTTCATTCTCTTTCTCCCTAATCAAATCATGAAACTATAATTGTTCTTAAAGTGGAGAAAATGGAAGCAATCAAGAGTTTCTGTGTGGACTGAATATCACCGTAGTCGAGCTGATTTTCTCACTAAATTGCTTTCCGATCTCCTCGCTAGAAACCACATACCGGTTTAGTTTGATGTTGACGTTGATTGGACCAGGTTATTCAATGAATTTGAATCCTGTAAGAAAGCAGGATACAGGAAACATGTAACAAATTTCTCATCTGATCTCAAGATAAATCTTTGTTTTTCATTTGTGTTTTTTCATGTTTATTAACAACAGTGTGATTTGGTACATGATGTGTGTAGGATGGAGAAGCTTATGCTTACCTACTTAATGTTCTTGCTCCAGAACATTCCAACCCAGGCACATTGGATACCAAGGATCCGACTAAAATGGAAAATTTGGTACTTGAGTATGCAGAAAAAATGGATTGCAAAAGATACTTGGCTCCTAAAGATATCGTTGAAGGCTCTGCAAATCTAAACCTTGCATTTCTTGCACATATTGTTCAAGATTCACTTAGTAGGTAAGTTATTAAAAAAATGTAAATTTAAGTATATTATAGAGTAATTTACTTTATATTGACCTTTTACATAATTAACCTTAGAAATTTCAAAACAAAACAAATGGTGTGACACCAAGAAGATGGATATATTACTGCAATCCTGCCCTCAGTAAAATCTTAACCAAGTGGACCGGTGGTGAAGATTGGGTACTCTACATTGAAAAATTAGCAGAATTGCGTAAGGCAATACCTAACAAATTTAATTTTAGCTTTCCTTTTTTCTATATATTTATCACAATTCATATCATTATAACTTTTTTATCAGGAGCTTTAAAACGAGTCCACTATTGATTATGATGTTTCAAATCTTGATTTTAGAATTACGAAATGACTAATTACACATTGTAAATGTTATATTTTAAAACAGTACAATAATATAACCACTCTTTGATCGATTAGATCTTTGCAACAGGTAGATAATGAAAGTAAAACAATGAAACAATACTCAAGAATGGATTTGAATGTGTTGAATGATTAGAACGTTCAATCCTCAGTAGAGCTCGATAAAGAACTTCCGCTGTAGAGGATTCTAGGGTTACAAAAGAGATCTTCTTAATTACACGTAAAAACCAACGATCTATCAGTACTAAAAAAGATGCATGCCATCATCTATTAATACATAAACCCTAGTAAAATAAGATACGGATGGACATACCCATGCCGTATACAAGATGGGCTAGGAAGCGAGCCCAAGACGCAACATCAAGTACCCAACAATCTCCCCCTTTGCGTCAATTGGGGCGAGACCTCAATCCAGCTTGCTTACCCCGCGGCACTGGCTTTCTTTACGGTCTTGAATAGGCAGGGGATGATGGCAAAAAGTGTTTGTCGGAAGTGAATGTACCAATTTATCATATCATTGAAGTACTTTTTATCACTATCCGAGTTCTGCTTGCACCGATTGATGATTTCCAGAACATGCTCCAGATAGGTAGTGGTGTAAAGATGTTTGTCAGCCAAAGCAAATAGGCATTTCTGACCTTCTGCCCTGGTGAACATGACTGAGTTCTGTTTCGGATCAATCCTTCCCATCTTCATTCGGTTTATATCGCTTGCACAACCGACTGGAGTGATGATGGGCTTCTTCCACAGAACATTAGCAACCTCTTGATCAAGCTTAGCCACCTCCAAAATATAGCAAACTAACATTCTCTTGAAATGGTCTATGATCGGACCATATTCTGCTTCATTGACAAGAAGAATGTTGTGCAAGACAATCCAATCATGAGGGTTTAGGTTGGGAAGATCAGCCAGAGAGATGGAATGCTCGAATTTGTCAGATCCCCTCAAGACCTTGAATCTAACATTAACGAAATTGCCTTCGTTGGTTATCTTCTGTGCGCTCAATGTCTGGTACTGAGGTTGAGCAGTCCTCAGATAATAGTCTATAAGCTCCATATCCACCTTCGGGTGAGGATGGGGAACTTCAGCTATATGAGCGAATGCATGGAAGATAAAGGCTTTTCGGGTCAGGGGCATGTCGAGCTAGGAATCGACCGAATTGACACGGTCTAAGGAGATGACCGATTCTAACCAAAGAGTGCAGGGGGGCTCAGTGGCTTCTTTGATAAGCACTTCGAGAGTCCAAGGAGGAAATAAAGTTTTCCTGCTTTCAAGGAGATCATGAGCCTACTTTATCTTCCTCTCCTTGGCCTCAGCTTCCCTAACGATGCGAGCGTTTTCATCCAGCTCTCTCTCTCTCTCTGGTTTGTTTCCTGACTAAGCTGACAATCTGTTCTTGATCATCACTTTCATCACTGTCGTCAACAATTTGTTTGGCTTTGTTTTGAGCACTCAAACCTGATGTAGGAACAGGTGTTGGTTTGGGTGCTTTCGGAGGGACAAGTGATGAAAATGGAAGTGATTGAGATTTGGAACTTGGAGGGGGTTTTGTTTCAGCTGTGGACTTCTTTTCTCCCCCTTGTTTCGGATGGTCCTCCTGCTAAGGAATGCCTTCAATACGGCTAAGCAGGGCAAGAGCCGGAGCGAGCTTCTCTGCAAGAGAACGCCTCACCGAATAGTTAAGAATCGGATCATGGGCTTCGATAATATTAGACAAAGCTCCGTGGACATCTGAAACACAACTCCTGACCACAGCTTTCTCAGACCGAAGAGAATCGATCTCCTTCTCGGCTTGGGAGAGCTGATGAGTTGCCAGAGTAAGCTCGGAAGACTTTCGAGCAAGCTCTTCCTTTGTGGTGGATTCGGCGGCAAGAGTGGCTTGGAAGGAAAGAAGACGATCCGCAACCGAAGACTGAAAAGATTGATTGTCTTCTTTGAGTTTCTGGCGGAAGCTGGAAAATTGGTATTTTTATAGTTTCGAAGGAATGGACCAGCTTCTCCACAACGGTGCGGATCTTCTTAGTGTTTGTTTCTGATGCCGCCTGCAAAGACTCCAGCCAGATCTGGGCGTCTTGAAATAGTTTTTCGACTTTTTCGGTCGCAACAGCACTAGCCTTCGTCGATTTATCAATAGCAGCAGAAGTTGAGCTGATGGAGGCTTCGTGTGCTTTGGAGAGAGATTCCACCATCCCTTGAATGGCAACCTCCGAAAAGTGAGATGTTGAGGAAGAGGAAGAAGCCACAAGATGGTCAATCTTCTCGTGGAGTTCCTTGATGTGCTTTTTAGTAACTGGAGCATCATCATCATCATCACTTTGAAGTTGGTAGGGGCTGTAGTAGATGGAATCAAAAATGGTATCCTCCCCTCCCAAAAAGGTTTCGGTTTCAGCAGATGGAGTGGGAGATAAGGGTGTGGTGGGTGGTTCAGTAGTGCTAGTGGGTTCGGGAACAGAAGTGGGTTCAGGTTGTGAAGTTGGAACCCTCGTATCAGATACGTTGGTTGGAATCTTACTGGTGGTAGTTTTGGTGGCTTCCGTGAAAAGTGGTGGGGGAATGGAAGTTGTTGTGGTTGGAAGAGAAGTAGAGGTAGTTATGGGGGGAATAGAAATAGGGTTAGATATGGAGGGAATGGAAATGGAGGAGGTTATGATGGGAATGGAAGAGGTTATGGTGGGAATGGAAGAGGTGGTTATAGGAGAAGGGGAAGGAGGTTTTGATGAAACATGTACCTCATGAGCAGGTGAGTGAGGAGGAGTTTCGCCTCTAGCCGACTCATCTGAGTCAGAATGGTTGTCTTCTGAATCGCTGGAGGAAGAAGAGAGAATAAGTTTCCTCTTCGGCTGTACTTTCTTCTTCTTCGCTGGTGGGGAAAGATCTATTTTTGAGGGTTATCGCTTCTTAGGAGAAGGACCTTTTGCCCCCTTTGCTACTTTCTTGATCTTCCCTTTCTCGGGTTTCTTCCCTCTAGCAGCAGGTTTATCTGCATCATTAATGGACTGAACCATTTCTGCAGAAAGTTCCCTTGGACCCGAAGGATAAAAGTCCTTGTAGGCCTTCATTATTATGCTCTCCTTGGACACCCTAGCGGACATAGAATCCGGAATGGATCCGACGAAAGAAAACTTGGTCGGATCGGTAACTATGATCTTGGTGGTGTGGAAGACACTGATGGTGGAGAGAAGGGAACCTGCAACAGTTGGAACATGAAGTTTATCCATGGCCCACTTGGTGATGAGCGTCCAAAATCTGGCGTAGGACACCTCAGTGTGCCGAGAGGAGGAGGCTAAGCTCTGAATGAGTTGCTACCAGAGAACCGAGCCATAGTCTAGGTTGAGGTCGTGATATAGACCATAGAGAATGGTCATGAACAACTTTCTGGCCCCATCAGAACCAGAACTGCGCTCAAAGAGCCCTTTGAACAGAATGGTGAAGAAACCATTCCATGGAGGAGGGAGACACGACTTCTTGAACTTAGTGACCGTCGTGAGAATCTCCGTGTAGCCCATGTTGTAGAACATCGAAAATAATTGTCCTACGGTGATGGAATCGGGATTAACCCTAGATTCATCAGCTTCAAAACCTAGGAGCCAACAGAATCGTTGCTTGGAGATGGAGGTCTTGTGAGAAAGAAGATCAAAGTAGATTCGATCCACTGATCTATCATAATGGGCAGTAGAGAAGACTTGGGAAAGGCATTCCATGGGCACAACCTCGACCTTGGAAAGAGCGAGAACCAATGGAGAGTATTTGAGATACTCCACCATGGGATACATATAATTCTCGTAAGCTTTAGGGTTTAAAACGATCACCAGGCTTTGTTGAGTGCGGATGGGAAGAATGTTGGTGCGGGAAGAGGTTTCCTGAACTGATGAAGAATCCGCCATTGTTGAATGTAGAAGATGATGAACAGTAAAGTAGAAATTGCCTGATTTTGCTCGTTTGAGTTTTGGTTGTGGTAAGTTTGGAATGAAGCAGATGTGTGCTTTTTATACTGTGGGTAGAGGAGAGAGAAAGATCATCCCCCAAATCTTCTTGATACACGAAACGGTTTCGGATTTGACAGAAGCGCGACGGTTGGCACCCCCGATGATTACGCATGAGAGAGAAGAACTGTTCCGTTGTGCATGCATGCCCGTCACCTCACTATTGAAGTCGTTACTCTGTCAGCTGAGGCAGCATCTTATCTGTTAAATAGCTGTCATCCAAACATAAGATTATAATGGAACCGAACGAGATTTTTGGAAAATCAAAAATTTTCGTGCATAGAGTGTAAAAGATAAGGAAATAAAGCGAGAAATATGTGGGAATTTGTGATGTCAATATAGACATAAAACAGTTGATCCTGGGCACGAATCACTTTCTTCAAGGTCAAGAGAGACCTTAAAGTGTTTGTATGGATTCCCGTTGAATTACGATCAATCACTTTCTAAGAAGTGTTGAAAAGAATCTTTTTATAAGGCTTAAAAGGGTGGCTTTCACTTTAGTTTAGAATTCCAGACCTTGACATAATACCGAGACTAAATGAAGAACCTGTGAGACCGATGTGGTCTGTTGAACAAGTAGGCTGGATTATATATATAGTGACTTGTTAAAGATGTGTGATGGTGAAATCTGAAAAAAAAA